AGCAAGATAATATATTATAATGGTTCGGAAAGGCTTCCTTCAACCCGATTCTTACCATTCAACGAACCGCATCTGGTACAAAAAAAACCGATTCAATAATGCTTAAAGGAAATGTTAAATATAATATTTAAGCATAAATAAGCAATATTAAAGTAATTCAAAAAGTTTATCTGAAATTTCAGGGACCCCTATATTTCATAAGCCCGCAAGAATAAAATTACCCACTCCCTCAAGTAAACCGACTTGACCAGAATCCCCGCGAGAGTTGATAACCAAAGTGTTTTCTGCAAGTCTCAAGTTGGTATCAAATATTTACACATTGCCGTCTACTAGTTAACACATTGTCTGCTGCTATTTCGCACTGCGGGTTTCTACAGAAACTTTTCGTCACATTTCGAGCCGGAACCCAAAACAGAAGGCAAAGCAATCGGATACAGATACGGCACCTAGCCCGGAGCTGTGGTCAACGTTGATTAGCCGCAATCACTTTGGACTCCGCTGGGACGAGTCGTTAACTGTCGAGAGTGCTCCATCGTCCAGTCGCAGGTCATGCATTTTCCATGACCCCGGCACACGCACTCCGCCCAGAAGCCGAACCAACAGCCGTTTAGTGGACATTGCTCCTCCAGTTTGCACTAAAAGAATGGCGTTCAAGCCCACTTACTTAGTGCTCCTAAAAAGCCAGGAGTGTCTCTATTTAAATAAAAAAAAATTGGACTGTAACTTGTACATTTTAAGTGCAAGACTATTTCTCAAAAATATTCAAAAATGATACGAAAATACTTAATATTTTAACATGATTTGTTAAATATTTGTTCACTAATATTTCATGAGAGGCGTCAGCACAGATCGAATGGAAAAGGGATCCTGATCAAAATATATCTAGGTATAGGTATAAGAAAAGCACCTCCCTCTACCTGTTGCATACTTTCAAACAGGTATAAAAGATATCGTCTTGAAGTAACATTTTGTACAGTGTTGTTTCGGGAGCAGTGAACACGTGGGTCCGCAAAAACAAATGCAATCGGCGGGAGCCGCACCTGGCCATTCCAGTGCGTAGCCCATCCGGTCTCCTGCCCCAGAATACATATTTAATAGAAAGAGCTTAGACGTGCCGGGGCTCCCAGGGGAATTGGGAGCATGTGGGTAGTTAAGCTGATTTCGGTAGATTTGTCTACTGTGGCACAAAAGCTAATTAGAAGAGCATGAATCTTTTACTGGCCAAGACAGGCAAATGGAGTAGGAATAAATTGTCGCAGATGCCGCCAGTGCTGTGTTTATTATGTAGATCGGAAAATCTGGACACCGTTGGTAAACTTAACGAGATCATTTTAGTAGCGCATGTAATTGACGGCAAAGAGTTTGCAGCAAACTTTCTATCAAATCAGTTTCCATTAAAATGTAGAATTTAATTTGTGGTGCACAATTTAAAAATCACCATTGCCTTAGGGTCTGTTAGTAATTGAGAAACTCAATTTAGTGACTTGATTAGAACAGTGTCAAATTCACTAAAACTTAAATTGAAAAACAAACCAAATGCTGTGTTAAAATAGATTTCACTGTGCTGCTCAAGCCGTTCAAATAGAATTCATGGAAAATCCTTTAGTTACTTTATTTCTAAGCTCACGCTCGCTCAATTGAATTCTGCTTAATTTATACAATTGCATACATGTTTGTGCGTTTCTGTTTGCCTCAACATAAATCTTAACAAAGCTAACAGCAATGCCAACAACAAATGCTGCTAACCATTTGTCAATTTTAAATACATTTATTGTATTTGCATGCCTGTCTAGTCCCCACACAACGAAAGAAAAGCAACAATAATTTAATAACCCACAAAGCGACAGACACACGCTCGCAGAAATACACACAAACAAATGGACAGACAGACATTCGAGCCAACTTGCCTTGTTGGCCAAGTGCTGTGTCTATGTATTATTCAAATTCAATTATAAAAATGCAATAAATAAAAAAATGCGTATATGCAAAGGAGATAAGAGAGATAGAGCCGAATAAAAAAGGAAAATACTACTTGAATATCGAATACTCTGAGGACCTTCTTGCTAATATGAGTGTTGATTCCCTGCAAAAAGTTTCGGAAGAGTATGGGTTATATGTTCACTTCTAAAAAATAATATTTCTCCTATACAGAATACACAAAATACAGATTTTCTGTATTAAATTTCACTTTAAAACTCAACTTGCACGCCAAAAAAAAATATACATTAATTATCCGTACGTATACTTAATATTTTACATATTCCTACGCTGTAAAAAACGGTGAGTTAAATTACATATTTCTTGAATATCAACGTGCCACTATTCCCGATTAATTCGACATACCTGTTTTGGAGGAGCCAAAAACGTGCGGCAAAAAGCCAGAGAAGCAAAACCGAAAAGGGAATATTTATTATTTGAAAAATACCTTGAGGCCGTGGCAAACGTCGTGAGTTCATAAATAACATGCGGTCCAAAATGGACAAAATCAAGCGAAAAGTGCAGAGGGCGGCAACCAGAATTTGATAAGCGATAAGGAGCGGATCCCCGAGGCAGCCATACAAATAATAATATTAGCAATAATAGTAATCAATGTGTAGTGTAAATAATAAATAACGCCGGCCCAGCACGGGCCAATAAATTGAAGAAAGATGATGGGTGATGGGTGATGGGTCGTCGGCGGGGACGGCGGGGACGGATGGCAGTTCGGTCCTCGATGGCGGATGGCCCATCAGCGATTAGCCCCGGCACGCAACAGCCCTGAAGAGTGCTTACAAAGGTCAAAGGGAAGCCCGAGTACAAACACACTCGGCGAGATAGAGAGCATAAACAACATAAATTTATTTGCTGTTAGCCTAATGTTATTTATACCTTTCAATTACAATAACAGCGGCGCCAGGAACCGGGGCAGTGGGTGTGTGTCGCTCTCAGGGTAAATAATAAACCATGACCCATCAGCAATCAGCCAGAAAAGAGGACCCTGCCCCGCACTATCAACCATAATGCGTGCGCATAAATAACTGGGCCATCCCCCGCGAAAGGTGTGAATATTAAGCCGGCAGCAGCGCCAGCTCCCAAAAATTTACGGTTGCCCGTAAAAGTTCCGCTCCAGTCATAACTCAAATTCATGCCTCCCAGGGGAAAGGGCTGCGACGCGCTGCCGGCGCATTTGATTTGGCGCCCAACGGAAAACTAAGAAGCACCCGACAAATGAGGCAGCCAACCGCAGCAATATAATTCGCCAGGTCTAGGGATGCAAAGCGACATTGCCGCCGGCTTCTGGCCAGGTTCTCATCCCCGAATCCTTGCAGATTAATCACTCGGCAAACCCTTTTGCGGCGCTCGAAGCCGGCTTGCCGTATTGCCGTCTTGCCTTAAATATTCAAGGTGTTTCGGAATTAAACCTCTAACGACCACGTATCTGCTAATTAACCTTGATGGACTAACACCATTTAAAGACAATTTAAATATATTTTTCGCAATATCAGTCATGGAGCGCGAACAACCTTAATAAGAATCTAAAAGCATGGGAATCATTTGCAAAAGATCTCGATCTTAGAGCTGGGGTAACAAGATAGTTTCTTAAATGTATGGGAGACATTTATTCTTCCATATCAATACCTAAGACTAGAGGAAATAAGGGATGGCTTCCAAAGCCAACTAAGAGAACGGACGAAACAGTCCTCAAAATGCCGCCGAAGTACTGACCGAACTCCTCGTGGAGACGGTCAATGGACACCGCCACGCATCCAATATTGTAATATTTCTGGGGACCCAGACTCTTCGTTTTTGGGTTGTAGGGATAGGACTGCCATTGGTAACAATGCCATAATCCCTCGTGTTGTTGAAGACAAAGCTTACCCAGCCAGCTTTCCGTACTTCCTCGCCAGATGCGCCTCAAGGACGCCCGAGGAGGACCAGCTCAGGCACTCCGTAGCCTGATCTCCAACTCCCACAGTCGACTCCTCCGGTAATAGGGTCGTACCTCTTGTAGTTCGCCGATTTCGTAACTCCTTCAGTACTCGGTTCCGGAGGGCAGGAATCGCTGTACGACGACTGTAGAGGAGGCCGGGATTTGTGCCGGAGAACTGGTTCAAGCCCATCATGAATCTCTCTCATGAATCCCGTCCTCCCTCGGAATAGAGTATCGGTCCCTGGGCCCGCATTCCTTTTTGTATCTGGCCTTGTTCTGCGCCCACTCTTCATCGGTCACCGAAGTTAGTCCGAGCTCCACGAAGAGCAGAGTAGGAACTTCTTGAAGTACTGGCAACCGCAGGGGGATCATTGCGAATTGATCACGTCCAGTGCAGACTTACAACTTATTCACGGCTTAAAGAGTTCCAGATAAAGTGCTCTTTCCATCCTAACCGCCTATAATTTGAAAGAAATAAACAAAATTACCCCGACTATCCGGTACCCTTTACTCATACACTGCCAGGAATCTTGACCAGTTAGTTTCTAGACCATTTTTATACACATACATGTGTTGTTTCATTGCGAAGTGATGCAAGTGTATTGTGAATGTTTAACAACTTTGTAATAGGTATTAGTTAAAATTTGAGTATGGGGCTTAGATCGTCTTCAAGTGGTTCGACTTGCTTATCCACTGAAGCAGATCTATGTAGATACTTCCTTTGGCTCGTCCTTTTCTTAATAATCGAATTAAACATATTCAGTTTTTTCTTAAGTTTGGGAATCTATTATATAATATATAGCCATCTCGTTAGCCCAACTGAACTGCTAACTTCCAAAGGCAATAAAGTATATAGTCTAATCTACGCGTACACATGGCAAAACGTCATATTAAACGTCATAGCAATGAAAAGCTAGGAGCTCTGAGCTGGGAAGTAACTTACAACCGGCTCATAGCCAGAAACCATAATATATAACTATATATAAGTAATATAACTTTATATGTTACATATAAAATTCCCTGCAATCGTAATCGTGTCAGATAAGGCATTCGCTGCTCGCCAGTCAACCAGGCAGCTCTGGATTTCTGGTCTGTGCAGCTCAAAGTTATTTACAAATCCACTTCGAACGCGATCAGTTCACAATGAGCACCCCTCGACTGCCCGTAGTACAAGGTCTAATCCTTCTTCTCCTCGTGGAGCTAGGTCTGACTGCGGTCAGCGATACGGAGTGGGTCCAGTACAAGGCTAAGTACAACAAAAAGTACGGAGGAAGAGACGGATACCACCGGGCGCTATACGAACAGAGAGCTCCGATGGTGCAGCATAACAACAGGCTCTTTTCCCAGGGAAAGGTTGGATTTAAGATGGAAATCAACCAGTTCTCCGACACAGATCAGAGCGTCCTCTTCAGATATCGGTCGTCGATCCCACCGCCCCTGGAGCCGAGTACTACTTATGGTATGAATTATGGTACTACTTATGGTATTGATGTGAACTTCAAGAGCTACGACCAGATCACCGGAGGAGTCGACTGGCGGCAGTACGGCTATATATCGGAAGTGGGAAACCAGGGCACCCAGTGCCTGAGCTGCTGGGCCTTCTCCACCTCGGGAGTCCTCGAGGCGCACCTGGCTAAAAAGAACAAGAAACTGGTGCCACTTTCTCCACAGCATTTAGTGGACTGTGTGCCCTATCCGAATAACGGCTGCAGCGGCGGTTGGGTGAGCGTGGCATTCAAATACATGATGAAGAAGGGCATTGCCACCAAGGAATCCTATCCCTACGAGCCTAAGGCAAGGGATTGCCTATGGAACAGCACCAACAGTGCCGGCACCTTGACGGACTACGTCACTCTTAGTAGCTACGATGAAAAGGAGCTGGCGGAGGTGGTATACAATGTTGGACCCGTGGCGGTGTCCATTGACCATCTTCACGAGGAATTCGATCAGTACTTCGGAGGAATCCTTAGTATTCCTGCGTGCAGGTCCTCGAGAACCGACCTTACACACTCTGTTCTTGTCGTCGGCTTTGGCACCCATCCGAAGTGGGGAGACTATTGGCTAATTAAGAACTCTTATGGCATCGAATGGGGCGAAAACGGTTACTTTAAGCTGGCTCGAAACGCCAACAACATGTGTGGAGTGGCCTCTCTTCCCCAATATCCAATTGTTGGATAAAGTCCTTGAAGAGTATGATATCACTTCGTTCATATCTCCCAGTCAAATACAGTACCCAGAATCAAACTTTTCAATGTGTTGATATCGCATTTATGGCATGGTTAAAATTGTGGATTACATATGGGTCTGCCTAGAACAGACGACAAAACCTCCCTGGTGGTGGTATTACCCATGTATTTCGTAAGCATAAGGGTTCCTTGGAAAACTGGCAGTGGGTCAAGTACACTTACTGAGAAACATTTTCACCGAGAGCATATGATGGCCACAGCTTATATGCTCTTTAATTACATATTGAACCAATAGTATCAAAGAGAAAACGAAACTTTGATGCCTTTCTATTATTTTCAATTAATTTTTCGTCGTCGGATGGCGATTAATTTCATCCCGAAAAAACTAGACCTATTTATGATTAAAAACAACAAAGGTACATTTATATATTTTTTCCTAATATTCCTAAGGCAGCTATGTACATATTATATAGTGGTCCGATCCAGCCCTTTCCAAATTAAATAGAATAGAATCAAAACTTTTGTGACCGATTTATGCAGAGAGCCAGGTCAGAGGCAAGAAAAACCCAAACCGTAAACGAAACAGCTACAAAAAGTATAATTTCCACTGAGCCGGGATACGATCCTCGTACTCAAAGATATTATATTGTTCTTAGAAAGTAAAAGAAAATTACATTATAATTGATTGTAGATTATTGTATTGGAACACATTTTGAAATTACTAGTTTGCGTAGATACGGACAGACGGACGGACGGACAGACGGACAAACGGACAAACGGACGGACAAACGGACGAACGGACGGACGGACATGGGTAAATCGACTCGGCTGTTGATACTGATCCGGAATATACATATATTTTTTTAAGGTCGCTAAAGGCTCATTCAACCCTTCCAAGCTTCTGACGGAAATCAATATACCCTCTGCAAAGGTATAAGGCTATAAAGAGAGAGTGTTCTATTGAAATTCGAATTAAACTCTTATCGCAGATGAATGGCATTGCACTTGCAGTTCCTCGAAGTCAATGGAGATAAGCCCTCTGTGCATAATTAAATGGAAAATCAGTAATTTTTGTAATAAAAAATGTATTTTGTATGTATTATATATTTATTACATATATATTATATATTACATATATATTATAAATATTATATTATATATAATTTTGCTACTGAACTGTACGGATTATTATGATGTCGGCAGCCCAAACTGAGTTTCACCGCCAAACTGAATGGCAGCAGGCACCTTAAAGCTTTGATGTAATTACAGATTGGCCAGTTCTAAATTTCTCACTAAATACCTGCAGTTGGCTACAACTTCCAGCCTTCTGCCCATCTATTTGTGACTCCTTGCTCGAGGAAGGACAGCTGATTGAGCAGCGGATACGTCGGGACAATTGATAAAATGTGATAAACGCGCAGCAGTGGGAGACAAATGACGTCCAGCTTTGTGCATTAGCACGTGTCCAGGACGAGGCGGAAGCCACCACTCGTACACAGAAAGAAATGCTTATGAGAGTATGCAAGCATAGGTAGTGCCTATAGAGCTGTTATATACTATATATATTTGTGGAACATCTTCGTATCATATGCGTATATATTTGCAATTGAAAACTGGCTTGTGCAACTCCACGAACAGCAGTAACTTTTTCTCCCTGTGCAGCTGAGAATGGGACTGCCAGGGGACTCGAGGCAGCCAGCCAACAAATTGAATTTATGGCCAGGTCTAAGCGTTTTGGGTGTCAGCCTGGTTAGGTCTGATTCATTTGCCAGATATAGCATATAGCCGGGCGAATCCAGGAGTCGAGTGAAGGGTGAAGGGTGCAGGGTGTCAGGGTTCGGGGGCTGCTGCTCAAGTGCTGCTTTTAATTTCCGACTCAAGCAGTTGGCGATTTGCCGGCCCTGCGGCCTACAAACAATTTCAAGCAATTTGCCTAAAAGTGGGCAACGAGGTGGGCGGCGCAATGGATGGCTGCCAGTCTATCTGGGGGCATGCATCTAAATGAACTTTGCGTGCTGCCCCAGAGCCAAGGGGAGGGGGCTGGACAGAGACAGATTCAGATACTGGGAGTCAGTGGCAGGGCCCCTGGGGACAGCAGGCAACTCTCACATTGATATGATAAAATGTAGCAATGTGAATAATTTATAATTGCCAAGCAAGCAACTAACAGATCTAGCGACACTCGGAAAATTTGCGTTCGGAAAATTGAATCTACTAGGTATGACAACAATAAGTGTTAATGTTTATTGTACTTAATTGTGATTAGGTTCCAAAGTTGTTTGACGATTATATGTAGATGCAATTGAATTCTTCTCCGTAATATTTTTGGAAGAGCATAAATCTGTGTATTGCTCTATTGCCCTTTCATTGTTACTCTTATAGATATGAACTCAGATTTAACACAAAAATTTGTTGTCAAAAAAACATATGCAAGGTATTAAAACTGATGATCTGAACAGAACTTCTACAGCATTGTAACTACTTGATCACACTTTAATTTTTCCAGTATTGCTTCTTCTTTCTGGCAATATGCAAATCCTTGAATTTTTGATGTGTTATTTTTTCGCTTATTGCTTTTATTTATTTGTCGCATTCGCAGTTTACCGTGCTGAAACCAATTTGCATACTTCAGGAAATGCCTACGACAGCGTTTCTTTTTTATTTGCCCGAATCGAATCCGGCAGGAAAAACTGAGGGGGGGAGGTGGAGGGCCATGGCATTGTTTGCAATAGTTGCTGAAAAACCAGAGCCACAATAATTCAGGAGGCCGAGGCGACTTCAAGAGCCATCATATGTCAGCAAACTATAAAAATCACCATAAATGTATCGCAGCTCCCTTGGAAAATCATAAAAAGTGAAATAAATCGCATTGAAATTACACAAATGTGCAGCTTTGTATACCAAAAGATTTAAAGTGTGCCTCTGAGGGCGTTATTGAAGTATCAGTATCTCAATAAGATATAATATAAGCAATACTATTTCATAAATTTACATTTAAAAGCTGTGACCAAGAGTGAAAAGCAGTACGATTTTTTTTAACTTTTGAAGAAGTGCACGTGACCTTTTAATAAAACTGAAGATTTTTCCAATTTTACGGCTTCTATTCTATAAATAGATAAAGATAGATATAATACAGATACATTGATAGATATAGATATAAATAGCTTCTATAAATATTTATTATTCTTATAGTCAATAAAAATACATGTATTGCTTAGCTAGTCAGCAGTGTATAATAATCAAATACAAATGATTAGGAATAATTTGTAAGCCAGATTTCCTTAGTTATTAGCGTACTGTGTAGTTTAATTATGTCTCATTACTTAGTGAGATTAAATACAATTCCACTCAGCACTGCACAAAATGAAGTCCAAGTCAGAATATTAGGTTGTCATCATTGTTGATCGAAGTTTTTCCGGCTTTTCTTACTCACAGTTAAGCCATCTTAGGCCAAACATTTTCACGCCCGCCTAGGAAGGAATTAATATGAGTTTGTGGGGAAAATCGAGAGCCTCCCATCAACCCACAGCAAGTTTCAGCATCTCAAAATCGACATTAGCGGAATTAAAAGTTTTCCATGCGGTGGAAATCTCGATAAAAAAGTTTCGCACTTCCGCTTTATTAAGCGCAAAAGAATGAAACAAAGGGCGGGAAAGTTTCCTTTCAGCGAACATTATAATTAATACCCCACAAAAATTCCGTGTTGTGAATATTCCAGAAATCCAAGCAAGAAATCCGTTCCATTTCCATTTAAGCCGCTTTGCAAGCGGCAATTATTATCTTTCTATTATGCAGATTTAAGCAGTCCGGCAAATTGTTGCTATCAACTCGGCCACAAATCACTGAAGCCGCCTTAATGCAATTCAATTAATTCAGTTGCAAATCTAATTGGAGATATCAGTTTTTGGTGTCAAAATAAACCGATGTGAGGCGAAAAGCAAAACATTTCGAGGGGGCTGAATAAAAACAGAAACTGAAACCAAAACAGAAACCAAAACAGAAACAGAAACAAAGCCAATTGCAAAAGACAGATGATGGGGTATGTGTGGCGTCATTATGTAATCAAATCAAATAACAATTTGTACTTTGTTAAATTTCTTGTCGCCATCGATGGTTGCCGGCTGTCTTCGCCTCGAAAAAATATGCAAATTTCCAGTATTTTCGTTTTTTCTTAGGTTTTTTTTTTTTGTATTTCTTTGATTGTTTGTCGCCTTTGTGGCTTATTGTTTTTGGCTTCGATGTTTCTGTGTTTTATTACGTGACAACTTTGAATTAGTCGCTGGGCTTTGACTTTGCGATCCCTCGACTTCGATTGTTTGTGTATTGCCTTTGCTGGCTGTCTTTCGCCATCTCTCTCTACTTCCCTGCCCCCGTCTCTTTCGCTCCTTGGCCCTATCTCTTTCTAATACAGACCCTGTGTGGCGCAAAATTACTCGGTGTCGCATTTTTATTGCCCCGCTGACACATAAAGTCAAGTCTCAATCGAACCCTATAGAAGACAGACCCTCAGCAGTGGACGCTCTCAACGGGTTAAGGTGGGCGAAGTGGGTTAAGGTAGGGCGGGGCAAGGACAGCTTTACGATTGCAGGCCCATGAAATATGACAATTACAGTCCATATTGACAATCAGTCAGTTGGGCAAAACTATGAACACTGGAGAGCATATTTTTCGAGCGAAGCAAAAGGGTTTCAAACAAATAATCAATATTTTATGTGGACGTCAACTTTTCACTTTTTCCGAGCTATTTCCATACCTTGATTCAATTTCAACTCGTTCTCTTACTGCTACGCATTTAGCTCAGATCCAAAGAATTCTGTAGCTTCAAAAGGGTATCATTGTGCTTATAAATATATTTAGAGCTGTCCAAATATTCGTGGAAACAATTCTGGCAAGTTAAAACTTTGGCGATGCATTTTATCGTAGGATTAAATTATTTTTCGTGCACTTGGCAACTCAAAAAACTCAGCCATCAAAAAGATATGCATTGTATAAGGTATGCATTACTATTGTACTAAATGCAGTGTAAGATAGTAATTGATTAACTACTTAATTTCTGTGCACCAATACACTAATTTTCGCTCTGTACCAGTAAATGAATAATTTGCAGCGCACCGAAGTAATGCGAAAGCCCTCGATTAAGTCGGCTATTTCGGAATCAAAACTTAATTTGCCATGTATGCAACTCAGGTATGTAAGTAAATTTATTCGGCTATCGCGATTAGATGCGTTTGAGCCAGATTCCCGAGCTGTTGTTGTTATGCTAATTAAGACGGAAAACTAATTTCGCCTAATTAATGATGACCGATTAAAATGGATTGCCAAATAAGCCCCGCCCAGATGCAGATAAGGATTCCGGGTTAACAGCTAGAGCTGCCAACTGCCTAATTGGAGCCCCAGAAAGTGCAAAGTGCACAGTGCACAGTGCAGCCGACTCCTCAGGCCAAGGTGTCACATATCAAAACCATCCAACCCAGCAGACGGAGGCAAACACAATCACAAGCCAGTTGAAGTTGAGGCCAGACAGTAAGAAAGGCAGTTGGGCAGCCTGCACGCGAAGAAATAAGTGATTACCTTGGCTAAAAGATCTGAATGTAGTCATTTTGTGATATTTCCCATGGTAGAATGGCAACTTAACAACAGTAACACCTTTAGTTTGGTAATACAATGGGATAAAATAGTAGTATTCCAAAATCCTATATTATATCGCAATTTATCCTGGTTAAAGATATCCCAGATTCATTTTTGGGTATTTTCCCGACACGTTTAGTTTGGTACAATGTGATAAAATAGTAATAGTGCAAAGTTTGCTCCAGATTCATTTCTGGGTATTTTCCCGCTTCTGCGGAGTGCTCTTTGGGAAAATCGAAAAGAGCTGAAGCGGAAAAGCGCAAGCGAAGGCCGTTTCCACTTTGAAATCAATTTGCGAGATTCACTGTAGAGTATTTAAACTTTTAGCGCAACTTTTAGGCGACAACAATATCACGTGAAGTAGTTGAAAAATAGCAGTAGTGCCCCTCGAAAACATAATTTTCTTCATTACTCATATGTGGCATACTCTGTTTTCATAAAACTGTTGTTCCTTAATAATATTTTTACACTTTTACTATACTATTTTTAATAATATTTTGCGCTGACTCGCAAGCGAAAGAAAGAGAGTTTTGGTAGTAGGCCATACCAAAATCATTGAATGGTCGTTGCCCAAGCCGCTAACTCGGCTTAAATTACGTGAGCGGCGGCCGAGTTTAAGCCAGGTTTAATCGGAGAGCTGCGGCGGGCCTGGTCGTAGCTCTTGAGCCGGGCTTAATCGAGGAGATTTAGTGCTGTTTGATTAGAGAGTAATAGCATGGGTGTAAAAGTGAGAGGGCTGTGCGGCGATAGATTTGGGTTTTGTTTACACGCGGCCGATTGCGTGGCGTCTGCCCAACAGCGGCGTTATTTAGTTTTATTTTCGCACATTTTGCATAAATTAAGGTGCCAAGACTGCAGACCTGGTAGCCGCCTGGGCTCTGGAGCTCTTGGGCCATCGCGCCAGGTTCAGTTACCAATTTCGTGTGCAGCCGTGCGGTTTGACTGCGGCATGGCGTGGAAAAAGTGAGCAAACAGCGATCGAATGGAAATATAGTCACAGCCAGGCGAATCCCAGCTCTATAATGTGTGCTCAGTTGAGTGGATCAGTGGTGGTGCCGGTGCCGGTGCTGGTGCAGCTGCAGGTGCAGGTGCAGGTGGCTGTGCTGATGGTGGTGCTAGTGGTGCTATCCGCGCCGCCGTTCAGTGAAAGTGCCCAGCTCCCTGTCCGCCGGCATGCCGCTGGAGTGGATTTCTTCGAGCATGAGTTCACCAGTGTGGCGGAAGGTTCGTTCGCTCCCAGTTTTTCCAATCAATCTCCGAAATGCACGTGATGCAAATTTCACATTATGATGGTTAATAGTTTCGAAATTCGCCCCTTTCAGGTGAATACGATCCTTACGGACCCGACATCGGGGACGACGATGTGGGAATCGACGATCCGGAGACCATGCCCCGCCTGTTCCAAGGAGATATTGCCATTGATCCGTACACCTACATCACCCTGCGCCTGGGCGTCAACCCCATGAGACATCCCAAGCGCCTGTGGCCCAATGGAACGATTCCCTTCGAGATAAGTCCACGATACGCAAATCCCGAGAGACAGGCTATAATTCAGGCCGTGAAAACCTTCAACTCGCTAACGTGTGTGCACTTTGTGCCGTACGACGGGGAGGTAGAGGACTACCTGTTGATCGAGCCGCCGGTGGAAGGACCCCAAGGATGTTGGTCCTACGTGGGCCGCAGAGGAGGAGAGCAGGTGGTGTCCCTCCAGAGACCCGATGAAAACAGTGCCCACTGCTTCAGCAGCGAGGGAAGAATAATGCACGAGCTCATGCACGCCATAGGCATATACCACGAACAGTCCCGAGCAGATCGGGACAACTTCGTCAAGATCCACTGGGACAACATCGTGCCGCGGTTCAGGAAGAACTTTAAGCTGGTGTCGAAGAAGAAGGGGAAGTACGCCTTTGACTACGACTACAACTCCGTGATGCACTACGGCGAGTTTTACTTCAGCAAGCGCAAGGGCGAAAAGCCCACCATGACTCCCTTACAACCTGGCGTTAGGATCGGACAGCGGAAGACCATCAGCAAGATCGACTGCCTCAAGATCAACGAGCTGTATGGGTGCTTGCAGGGCCGTAGGGCCAAAATGTACCGCAGTTTCTGCCACCTCCTCGGGTTGTAAGTGGAACTTGGCCAAGGGTCATATTATGAATCACATTGATTTGATATTTAATAAATTCGTTCGTACACTTTGACACAGATTCATTTGCCAAAGTGTATTTGCCGTATTGCATTTGTTGGCTGCCGCATCCATTAAATTTACCAAACTATACAGATCACTGGTTGGGCAAAGGCATATAGTTCGATAAAAAGAATCTTACAGATAGATGGAAATATGTGTGTTATATTCTTGAATCTATTATGATCATGGTTATAAAATTCGTGAATATCGAACAATGTGTGTCGAAAATGTCTGAAGTCCGATGATTTACGACGAAATCATCGACAAAAGTCCAACGATCAGAGACACTTAAAGATAAACAAACGGTTTAAATTATTTTAATCTCATATGAATCTTTAAAGCAGTGTATTTACTGCTTGCCAAAGCAGTATTTACTGCTTGCACTTATCCATTTATTTAGTTGAGTAACGGTATCCATGTATCTATCTTTAGCTATTTCGAATATTACTAAGATTCTTCCATTTCAAGCGAGTTTTGTTTATGAACAAAGAGGAACTGTCGAATCGCAAAAGCTGGAGTGAATTTTTCAGGTTTCTTCGTTATTAAGAGAACAACCGTTTAGGTTGTCTCGCCTTTTAGATGTACAACTTAGCCTTACCCTTTTAAAATTCGTTTAAAATATATGATTTATTAAATCGTACAGATATATGTGATTTTGTTATTATTATTACTTTTTATAGTTAACCCCATAGCTCTTTGAAACTTAAGAATATGCAATAAAATATAAAAAAGTCTTGCAATTAACAATTATACCATAAAAATACCCCATTTTGAGATTTATAAATATGGATCATACGTTTTAGTTTTCCTTTCAGATTTTTTTGTTCATCTATTTTTTATACCTAAAATAAAAAATTATATTATTAGAAAATTCTACAAAAAATGATTATAAGACTATTGAACTATGAATAGCAAATATTTTTGTGCTTGCAAAATAATTATAATAATTATGTATACAGCAACAAACGCAAAATGGGGTGAGTCTTTGCTAAATAAAAAGGTTTTGGCTTTACTACTTTGAGGCAGTTCGAAGCAATCTGCTCACAAACGATGTTTTGATAGACTAAAAACTATATTTTCAAGTTTAGGAGAACGGACCGACGACGAATTTCATTTCAAAATAGTTTCAGCAGCAGTTTGAATAATAAAAACTCACCGCGTACAGGGAAAAGCACGGCATGCAGCCGACTATCGAAAGTCTCGCGAGCAGATGGTCACTCTAGAAGGCATTTTATCGCGTGCGCGCTGCGGTCACACTAGCTCTTGGCTCGGATTTTCCCCTCCACACAGGGTCACTCTAATTTTGGACGAGGTTAGGTAAGACACGCGCGGATGCCGCGCTGCGTAGAATAAGTCCGCCATTAGCATAACCGCAGAGGGCAGCTAACCCTTCGGAAATATGCTCAAACTAGTGCAATACATAGCCCCCCGGGTGGGCGGCACCACGCCCCGAGCAGCCGCCTGCGGCTGGGGCAACTTGCTATTGATTTCCCCGAGAAGTTCCGAGAAATGTATAACGCAACGTCGCCATTTTCTTTTCTCCTCCGCCAGCAGCAGCGGCACTTTCGCTTCTTCTTCTTCGCTCTGCACCGAACAACGACAACAGTTCCACGGGAGTCGCAGGAATCAGGAGATCATACTGTCCCCAAGCACACAAAGTAGTCTCAAAGCCCAGTCACATCGTGCGTTTCGAGACAGTTCGAAACCAGACCCAGACGACTACGTAGATTCCATCCCGAAAGCAGAGCAGCGGACGAGAAGGAAGTCGCTTTTCAACGATCCCGACGAGAGAACAGAGGAAATCAAAATTGAAGGAATAATGTGAGTACATCGCAAAATTTCTTATGAAAGGCGCTGCTTGTTCCACTCGCTGTCGCCATTTTATCACCCTTCGTGCCTTTTTTTTCTCTACACCTACGAAGCGAGGTGATGAGTAATTAGTGTGTGCGAAAGAGAGAGGGAGGGGAGAGAGAGAAAAACACATGGTTTGCTAAAATTTGACAGTTGGAGGTGAGGTTTTTTCAGCTATTTGTTTTTTTTTTTGTTTTCCCCCCACATCCGCAAAGGAATAGCAAAAGCAACAAGAACGACAGCGCACGTCATAAAAAGAATTTGCCTGATTTGTGAAACGTGTTCTTGCTTCGTTTGCTTTTTTATAGCATTTTAATTTGTCTGTATGCCCCGAACACGAACACGCGCACTCACACAGCGGCACATTCAAACTTTCTTGTGTGCGTGAATGCCTGTTGACGGCGGCATTTTCGCGTGCTCGTATAACACATTCGTGAGTGTGTGCGTGCGTATAACAGTCGGCGGCTGTCACTGACAAGCGCCATCCTGCTCACTCGCCAGCATGCCTTTCTATCACGCTCTTTCCCTCGCTCACACGCGGTTTTGTAGAGATATCGCGATGTTCCGTGGTTTTTATTGGGAATTATTTTATACTTTAACGTCTGCCTTCGTTTATTGACCACAATTTGTACTACGTAAATCCATCTTGGTATGGATTTATTCCGGTTATACTTAATGCGGGGAGTAAAAGGGACTTTTTATACTGCTCATGTTTTGGTTATTTTAGTATATAGCTATATTTTATCATCCACCCTCTTGCTCCAGTGCTTCAAAAAAAATAATAGTTCAGTAATACGTAAATAATTTTAAAGATATAATAATATATAATATATAGATATAATATTTTATGATTTCTATACAGTTATTTGTAGAGCTTACAACTCTTTTTACTGAGAAAATGTTAGGAAAAAGTAAGAAGATAGGTTATCCTTTTACACTACTTTACTTTTCCCTACACTAATAAAAGTTTCATGTACACGAAATGCACTGACAAATAATCGGAATTGTATTTTATATAATCATTTTATTTATTTTGCTGCGTCTGTATTGCTAAAGCAAATATTTATTTATCATGAACAATGTTAGTTATAAAAAGAAAATTGTTTTTTAGAAAGTTATACTATTGATAACAACTCAAGTATCACATATTGAATGGTATTAGTAACCCAGTTCGTGAACTACGCCATCACATAAACGGCCCCATTAGTCTAAATGTCAAATGACGCCAATTGATTATGATGAGGAGCTCCCTCTTTGGCTAGCGCGCGATTCGTCTTTTCGCATGTCAAAAAGCGACAGGTAGACACACAGAAAGTCAGAGGTGCCCCCTGGGACTGTCCGTCCCGTCCCCTCGGGGTTCGCCTTTACTTTACTTTGCTTTACTGTTTGCATTATTCGAAATTTATTTAATTTCCCTAACACGCAATTAGTTTTATTTAAGTTTATTGCGGTTGTAGCACAACTCAATGTCAGCTGTTTAGCAGCGTCGAAAGAAATCGAAAAGCGAAGACTTTCCTTCCAAGTCGGCCAGTCGCAGTTGAAATCCAAGTCCCAACTGGCAGACGTCTAGAAAAGGCAGCATGCGAGCAAAGTAAGCCAAGCCACTCGGTTCGTTTTCCCTAAATTTCTGCCAAAGAAATACTTAAGAAAAGAAAATGCAGCTGTCTACGCCAAGCCGGAAAATATATAAGCCCAGTTAAGCATGGTACAGTTCTCGAAGGCCCCTTTTCTCCAGGGAAAATACCGGAGTACCAAATTTATGCCACATAGTTTCTGGGTAAAGTGCGCAGCACAAATTGATTTTATATGGCAGATAAGAAGGAATTGATTATACAAATGTACAACGCGAAATTGCTAACAGATAGTCGGTAGTATCCGACCTTACACAAATCAACAATACTCGTAACACTTTAAAAGTTTGTGAAAAAACTATCACATTTGTAATATTAAAGTTTAATAACTTGGTTATATTAAACATGTTAACAAAGAAGTGGAGTACCTTAATTCTACAACCAAACCTCAATTCGATTTTAAAACTAACAATTTAAAACAATTTCGGTTACAAAGCTCAAAGTGATATATTTTATATAATTTGACAGAATTCGAAGTCGTTCGATTTCAATGAATAAGCAAAAGCCCTGCTACTTGACACCAAGTAAATTCCGTTAATGCAAGATAAGCATACTCGAAATAAATAAATTATTTTTGTTGGCAGAAGTGTAGACCCATTGCTCAAATTTCTCGCAGTTGGCGTATTCATTTGCTTTTCCAGAGCCAATTACCATCGCAACCTATCATCATTTTACCAAAGTAAAAGTTGGATTTGATTCAATATAAATTAAATCTTTCAGAATGGAATTCAAAGCAAAAGCCCATACTAATGTAAATTCTTAATTTATTAATTTTATAGAAAAGCAATGTAGTGTTGCATAAAAAACTTGCGATATACCACTAATTTAATTTTTGTGTTCCGAACAACACAAATTATTTCCAATATAAATTTGCGGTTAACGATAAAAGTATTACAACAAAGTACCATACGTTGAAACTAAGCTACAAGATGATAAAGATGTGAGATTTCTTTTCTTGAGCATTCCTTTTCTCTCCAGCATTTTAATTGCATCCTCAGATACTCATCGATTTTCTTCTGCCATTTCCCAGGGCACCACACGATCGCGACTTTGGTCACAGTGGACGTGGCGGTCGCGGAGGCGATCGAGGTGGCGATGACCGGCGAGGAGGCGGAGGAGGTGGCGGAGGCAATCGCTTCGGAGGCGGTGGGGGAGGTGGCGGTGGTGACTATCACGGCATAAGGAATGGACGTGTCGAGAAGCGCCGCGATGATCGCGGAGGCGGCAACCGTTTTGGAGGTGGGGGTGGATTCGGGGATCGCCGAGGAGGAGGTGGAGGCGGCAGCCAAGACCTCCCCATGCGCCCGGTCGACTTTTCCAACCTGGCTCCCTTCAAGAAGAACTTTTACCAGGAGCACCCTAACGTAGCCAACCGGTCGCCTTACGATGTTCAGCGTTATCGCGACGAGCAGGAAATCACCGTTCGCGGACAGGTGCCGAACCCCATCCAGGACTTCTCCGAGGTCTATCTGCCCGACTACGTCATGAAGGAGATCCGCCGACAGGGCTACAAGGCGCCCACCGCCATCCAGGCGCAGGGCTGGCCTATCGCCATGAGTGGCTCGAACTTCGTGGGCATTGCCAAGACGGGATCCGGCAAGACCCTGGGCTACATCCTGCCCGCGATTGTCCACATCAACAACCAGCAGCCGCTGCAGAGGGGCGACGGACCCATCGCCCTCGTGCTGGCCCCCACTAGGGAGTTGGCCCAACAGATCCAGCAGGTGGCCACCGAATTCGGTTCCTCGTCGTATGTGCGCAACACCTGCGTCTTCGGCGGCGCCCCGAAGGGCGGCCAAATGCGGGATCTGCAGCGCGGCTGCGAGATCGTCATTGCCACACCCGGACGGCTTATTGATTT